GAGAGAGAGAGAGAGAGAGAGAGAGAGAGAGAGAGAGAGAGAGAGAGAGAGAGAGAGAGAGAGAGAGAGAGAGAGAGAGAGAGAGAGAGACTCGCGGGCTCTCTCTCTCTCTCTCTCTCTCTCTGGTCCGCGCGCGTATAAGCAAATGTTACAAAACTCGAGTGAATCTCCACTCTTCCACAGGGAGATTCATTCTCATTTTGCAAATTTGAGGGTGCGCGCACTAGAGAGAGAGAGAGAGTTTGGCGCAGCGGGATAAGCAAATGTTACAAAACTTGAACGAATCTCCCCACTTCCACGGGGAGATGCATTCTCATTTGCAAATTTGAGGGTCCACACACTAGAGAGAGAGAGAGAGAGAGAGAGAGAGAGAGAGAGAGAGAGAGAGAGAGAGAGAGAGAGACGGCGAGTTTGGCGTAGCCAATTTCGCCAGCTCTCTCTCTCTCTCTCTCTCTCTCTCTCTCTCTCTCTCTCCACGAATGCCCAAAATGAGAATGAATCTTGCACGCAGGAGGCAGAAATTCATTCTCGTTTTGCACATTTGTGCCCGGTTGGCCGCGCTCTCTCTCTCTCTCTCTCTGCCCCTCCCTCCCCGCGATTTTCTGTGTTTTTCGATTTCTTGTTTTTTAGGGCAGAAGAATTACCGGTAGCTCGAGGCTCGGCAAGGTTCGGGTTGCCGGTAGGCTGAGCCACGGGCCTTAACAACCGCTAGGTACTGGTGGTTTAAATGACCAGTCCCTCCAAGCCTCATTTTTTCCCAACCTGGATTGCTGCTGCGTGACCAAAGAAAAGCGAACAGATGTGGCCGCGAAATACTTTCTTTTTGCCGGGTGCTGCCAGCCAGTTTTTGAATCCCTCAGTAGTCCGAGCCCCTGTTAAACAACTAGTACCCTCCGCCAGTTGGGAAAATAGGGAGGCCTCGGGTGGGCCTCTGATCTTTTCAGGAGGCCGAAACGAAACGACACGACGGCCGCCGATGAGATTTATCAACGAAGGCCATCGTTGGGCCCTGCCGATGTTTTTTTTGTGAGTATTTCCCTGTTTCCCAACACTGGCAGAGGTACTAGTGCTTTAATCCCTGCCGCGTCGAATTAAAATAGCTGGGAAAGGACCTGGTGGTTCGAGGAACAGTTTCTGAGGCATACGGAGAAGAGTCATGTGACTCTTGACGCGGGCCTACCGGCTTTTTCATGCGGCCTGACTGACAATTCATTGCAATTTTGTTTCATGAAAGTTGCATGCTCTCTGTGCATGGAAAGTACGAAAAAAATGTCTTGCTTGCAGTAAGTCGCGGGACACTGCACACGTATGCAGTGACGGCGTAGAGACGCTGGAAATGTTGATGTGAACTGTGCGCTTTCTGGTGGGTTGACTTTGACCCGTGCCTGTGTGCGCGCGCTAGCGCACTTTGCTTTTCTGTTGACTGTCTTGTTCTTTCCTTCCTTGTTGATTGGCTTGTTTTTTTTTGGCTCAGAGAAGATGCGGCAGCCGCAATCAATAACATGCACAATGCAGAGCTGTATGGGCGGGTTCTGACTGTCAATTACGCGCAACCAATGAAGATCAAGGGTGGCGAACAGGGCTGGGCTAGTCAGCCAGGTAAGGTGACTCAGCAGGAGATACCAACTGCCAACTGGTGTCGATTCGAGAGTGCGAGGGAGACCCTACGCCACATTTATCTTACGTTCTTCTTGCCTTGCTTCTTTTAGAGCCAGCTTAATTGTGGACGTGGACAAACTGCTCCCTTGTCGTGATCATGAACCACCCACCGCAATTATTTCAAGCAACCCCCACATCGGCACAAATCTCCATCCGCAATGTCAAAGGCTTAGACATTGGGCGCTAAAGTGGTGGCTTTGCATTGCTGAGTGCGAATGGTGTGGAAAGAGAAAAAACCTTACCACGAAAATGCCAAACCTTATCATGATAAGCCAAATCTCCCAACCTGTTGTGACCAGGTGGCGGGAAAAGGGGAGAGGGACCCGGGGGGGGGGCTGGATCATTTATGGCCCAACGGTGGGCTTTTCAGCTTGCGGTGGCGGCTCAGCTGCAGGCCCAAGTTGAACTTTGTGTGCAGGAACTTTCTTTTCTTTCTTTCAGTTCATAGTTATGTGACAATATATATACCACTCCTCTTATTGTGTATCATCGTCGACGACATGCACAACATCGCCACTTGGCCAGGGATCAGCGGCCTGCTTCTTTGTCTAACCCAATTCTC